CGAAAACATGGAGTTAAAACGATCATTAACATTCAGACCAGATCAATGGATAGAAGACGAAAACATGGAGTTAAAACGATCATTAACATTCAGACCAGATCAATGGATAGAAGACGAAAACATGGAGTTAAAACGATCATTAACATTCAGACCAGATCAATGGATAGAAGACGAAAACATGGAGTTAAAACGATCATTAACATTCAGACCAGATCAATGGATAGATGTTGCTGAATTCTCTCTGCTTCTAATGGTTTGTACCTTGCTGCGGGGTCTGGCAGAAGGCGCCGGTCCACTGGGCGGTACAGTTACAGGTGAACCCGTTAACACCATCAGTGCAGGTTCCCCCATTTTGACAAGGGTTGCTTGAGCATTCGTTGATGTTGTGGTCACAGTGAAGACCTTCCCAGCCAGGGCTGCAGTGGCAGATGTAGCCTGAGGAAGTGCTCTGAAACACACAGACATCATTTTACACCCTTGAGCTTCAAATACATTTCAGATTTCATTCTTCTAACCTTTACTGTATTATTAGTGCTTCTAAAAGCTTCTATTTTCTTTTAATGACAACATATTTAGTTCATGTAATTTAGAATTAAAATCCTGCAGCAGGACAACCCAGCTGGTTCTGACTTAATAGGAATCAAACTTAGCATGCTATAATGGAGATGCATAGAAACAATGATGATTTTTCCAGAACATCTACTCTAGAATCAGCTGGTTTGGTTGAACCATCAGCTCCTTCAAACACAGGAGAGGGTAGTGATGCTGAGGGACATTGAGTCAGAACCATCCAGAGCGGATCTAGCCTGCAAAGTCAGAGTGTGATGCTAATATGACCGCAGCACGACAGGCAGACTTTGCTGCTACACGTCTGCTATAGATCATAGAAGCAGTTATTAGTATATAAATAGAAATCAGGATATGATAGTTTCAATGATTTTTCAATAAACCCTCCACCGCTCCTAGAAATGATCTAACATAGCTAACATTAATGCTTTACTGAACAACCAAGTTAACCTTTCAATGAGGGAAGAAAATAAAAATCATGTCCTTCTCAACATTTTCCAAGCACAGCAGTGACACCATAGAGGGCTCCAACTTATCCCCATCTCATCTGACCTGCTTCACTCACTTTGGAAGAGACTCCTTCGGAAACCTGAATAAGCCGACGGCATCCTGATAGGGGTTGAAGCTGTTCAAGATCAAACATCAAAGATGACCAAGAGCGATTCTCCCTGATGTCAAATCCCTGCCACAGCCGCTTCAACCAGCCGATACCAACTCAACTGTCTCTTGGCTGTAACTGTCAGGCCTCGAAAGGAAGGAACACAAGCCGCTCTGTGTTCACTGGCCGCCTCAGACTAGTTGCTGCCTACGATTCTTAAAGAGCTTAACGTAGTGTCTGGTTTTTCCTGCATTCTAACCCAGATTGAACGCCACATTCTGTGAACCCACCTGCTGAAGCAGATGAGAACTACCCAGTTCTTAACGGCCCACAGAACAGCTGGGCCCAATTGCTGCCGCTATAACGACCTACCTGGTCTAACACTGACCCTGACCCAACCCTTGTCCTTCTCAGGGACCCCGTCCATCGAGCTGCTTGGTCTAACTCTGACCCAACCCTTGTCCTTCTCAGGGACCCCGTCCATCGAGCTGCTTGGT